GAAACTTCTCATAGGAATCAAGCAAAGACAAATATCCCCCGTATAGCCTTTAAACGACTGTTGGGGCAAGTGCTGTTAGTGAGTAGCACCTATGAGGGCTGGCACGGCACACCACGCCCGGCTGCCTTTGTATCCCCCAGTGGCGATGTTTACACACCGTACCATGAACTCACTCTGAGTCGACCACTACTACTACTACTACGCATCACCGTTTCAAATTAGGAATCAGACCCAGCAGCATCATCCCCCGTCGACTGCGAACAATTGGCAGGACCCTCTTGAAAAATAGTCTTGAGATCCAGTGAGGCTTTCCTAGCTAAAGAATCGGCGTGACAGTAATAATAACAATATAAATAATAAAATAGTTACCCTGTGAAAAAAATGGCTATCCAATTCGCTTGAGATAATTGTCATGTCCAGTCCAGTTGCCTTCATGTCAGGATATTAAAACGCATGTATATATTTATATCATTTTGTCAGTGTCCCTTTGCTCTAAGGCCCCATATGAATTGCCACGTTATCTCACGAATGTTCAATACCCAGCTTGTTTATTACATTTACAGGTCAAAGGATCAATCTGACAGGCCCATCCATCTATTTAACTATTTAATGGGATTGGACCACCAAATGACCGCTTTTGATTGGCTGCCGTCCAGCCAATCCGAACGCTGCCGTCCAACGCGAGACGAGGGGAGGGGGTGTATCGAGGGAGGAGGGGGGGGGGGGGGCACGAGGGGCGGGGCGAGGGGGTGCTGGGGGGGGGTATTGAGGGTGGGGGTCGTTCAACAGAACGCCAGCGATAGCGGTAATCTGAACCGGTCCTGGGGTGCTCTCCTAGGTCGACTCAGCCGCAAATGTGTACCTGGTGCGGTGTGTAGCAAACATCGCCACTGGGGAGACAAAGGCGGCCGGGTTTGGTGCTGGCCACCCACCCCCCTCGTGTGCCGTGGCGGCCTTCATAGGTGCTACTTGCTAACAGCACTTGCCCTACAGCCTGCTAAGGCTACACGGGGGATCTTTGTGTTCAACGAAGGATGCTTCAAGATCGTTATTGACGTTTTTGCGTCTTCCCTCGGCGGTGCCGGATTATCCTCGTAGCACAAGTAGCTACACATGATGCTACGGGCCCCGCACTTTCAATGGCCACGCGCTAAATGCTTTCAAGCTATCAATTCCGGTTCAGTGATTCTGCACTTGCTCTATTACTATAGTACTATACCGCCTTCAACCTTCATGAACGACTGGGTGTTTCAAGTTAGCAATTTGTCGTATTTTCTGGCTGTATTGCAAATGAAATAATACAATTACTTCACTAGGCAAGTAAAAAAGATTGTGTTCTAATATTTACGTTTTTTTTAAAATGTAGTGCCCCTTGAAAACAAATGCTACAGGCCCCACACTAGCTTAATCCGACAACAATGCTTGGTACAAAATCTTTACTTCTCATTTAACTGTACGTCCATCGAATACGGAAAAGCATCGTTTTTGTTACCATCAGTGCCTCCCTCCACCAACTCCACCCCCCCACTCTCCCGCTCCCCCCGACCCTCCCCACCTACCACGTGTATTTATTTTTTGGTCGTCAACCCAAACCGAGCTTAAAGTCATCTCTGGTGGTTTTTACAGCTTTGCCAAATTGGCAAAGTTGCGGCTGAAACGAATCCGCGTGAGCATTGGATAAAGTATGAACTGCTCAGCGGGTGGGGGGGAATTGTATGCAGATGCTTGGACCACCCCGATCCCTTTCCCCCACCGCCACCTCCCGTGCAAGAGACCTTGGAACAACAGATGACTGGGGGGGGGGGGTGGGGGGTGGAGGCCGCGGTTCAAGTTTTGATCTAAACTAAATGTCTCCGGTTTTTTTCTCAACACATCTGAGCAACGCAACTCTCCGGTAAGTGTCGTTCTTACCGGATCGTATTTACGAGGGTTATCTTGAACCCCACCTCCCCCGTCCATCTCTCCATTGGGACGCCTCGGTGGCGAGATGTTAACTTCCTCGCCTGGTATACAGGAGGTCGTGCGTTCGATTCCGATCGCCCTGACGCCTGCTGCTGTATATTTGAATTTTCTATCTTTTTTTCGCTCTTCTCCCCGTGGTTCCGTGGATTTTTCTCCGGGTCCTCCGGTTTTTCCCTCCACGTTTAGAATCAACATTCGTTAAGAGTATTCGGCTACAATACATTTCCCCACGATAAAGCCACTTCGTTGAGCTATCATTTGTGGCCAGGTCACTTCTGAAAAGGAGCTGTACAGCTCAGTGGGGCTTACCTGGTAAAATAAAAAAAACGTAGTTTAGTTTTAGTCTATTCATGTATTTATAGTGATTTGATTACACTTCCTATACTTTGCACTCCTATCAGTTTTTTTGGGGATTGTTTGTTGTCGTAACCGTCTGACCCACTCCTAATGGTCATCGATGGGGACATATGAACTACCTCGCCTGGTGTACAAGAGGTCGTGCGTTCTATCCCCACCCTGACTCCTGATTAATTTAGAAGTTTTCGTGCCTCTCTCTCTCATCCTCATCATCATCACGGTGGCTAGGATATGTTAACTACCTCGCCTGGTATACAGGAGGTCGTGAGATCAATCCCGACCCCGACGCCTGCTGTATATTTGGATTTTCCTTGTTTTTCTCTCTCTCTCCCCGTGGTCGCGTGGATTTTTCTCCGGGTCCTCCGATTTTCCCCTTGGCGTTTAGAATCAACGCGTTTGACAGCAGCCAGTATTTGGCTGCTGTCAATGTCCACACGACGATAAGCCACTTCGCCGAGCTATCATTCGTGATAGCGAGGTCGCTTCTGACAGAGCCAATAGCTCATTGGGCCTTACCTGGCAAAATAATAAACAGCTGCGTTTTAGTTGTAAGCATGAGAGCGTCCGTGTCTCAATGCTCGCACGAGGAGAGCGCTGGAGATCATTAGCCACCCGTAGCCCTGAGCCCGTGGTGCAAATTCAAAATTCCTGTGGCGGTGAGCCAATGGTCTTTATTTGATCATCACCGCCGGCTTTCCAGTCGCGGGGATTCTCGTCCAATTCGCGAGTGCCCTGAGCGTGGAGCATGGGGGTGGCGGTGGTGGTCTGTTGTCATTCGTGGAGCCTTGCGGGGTGAGGGGTGGTGGGTGGGTGATGGCATTCCGGTGTCGTTCGCACGAAGATGAGCGCAGAGTTTTTAGTTTTTTTCTCGTGGGGCTGTACAAGATAAAAAACACTCGGGCATAACGCCAGCCAGTGGTGCCGTCCTCACGGAATGTTCCCCCTGCGTGGAAACTCGTTCTCGATCTCAACACCGTGCCAGCGCTGAGCCACGTTCGATGCAGCTGTGGCTTCTGCATCCACGGTCTCCGTCCATCCCAGAGTCATCTTTCCTCGCCGTGCCACCCGCATCCCCATGAAACTAAAACCACTTTTTATTTTTTTATTTTTATTTTTTTATTTTTTTATTTTTTATTTTACCAGGCAAGGCCCCCTACTGAGCTGCAGCTGCGTAGCTGCTCTATTTTTCCGGAGCGACCTGCTGTCACAAATTATAGGTCGGCGAAGTATCTTATCGTCACGTGGAAATCTATTGCAGCCAAATGCTCTGAACGCGTGACGTTGACTCTAAACTATGGAGAGGAAAGACTGGGGTATCCGGAGAAAAGTCCACGGGACCACGGAGAAAGAGAGAGATATAATATGCAAACTCCAAATATAGAGCAGGCGTCAGGGTTGTAATCGAACCCACGAGCTGATGTATAACAGGCGAGGTAGTTAACATCTCACCACCGTAGCACTCCATCATCATACACACCCGGCCACTCCAGATTCTGTAGTCCCCCCCATCTCCCTCTATCTCCCTCTCCGGCTGGAGTACGCATACCACACACATGTCGGTGATGTGCACGTCTTCTTCGAACGCTAGGGAGCCGGAAAAGCCCTCTGTAGCAGCGTGGACGGCACCATCATGTTCATCTTCTGAAGCGCTCGCTCGTCACTGTGGCGTGCGCGATGACCACCACAACCACGTAACCTTTCTTTCGTGTTGTGCGCGGTGCTTTTAGCGCCAAAGCGCGTGGATTTGTAGCGTTTATTTTCAATTGTTTGCTGGTGACTTGTGTATTTCATATCGAAATCCCCTCCAGTGCTTTTGCTGCTGGCGGCAATAAAAGTTATTTAAAAGTCAAAAGTCTCCCTCTCTCTCGTGACCAGATATTTTGTTTAAATTCTACAGTCCCTCTGTGCCTCTTTCCCACTGTACAAGCGAGCCGTGCCAGGGCACCATCGAGCCAGCCAGCCACTGCAGAAGCCGAGCAGTGCCGCAGTTGTTCACGTAACACGTGTCCTCACAGCGTCACGGCTGACCGGGGTCACATGGTAACAAATGGCCCGAGTCGCACTTCGTGTATCGCCCGCATTATTCATTGATTTTGTTCGGCTGATGTAGATGCAGAGTCAAATCTGCAGTTTCACATTAAGGTGACCAGGCCCAGATAACCGCGTCAGGGGTAAGTGGAGTGTTATCGCTGTGGCGATTTCTCCTTCGTCGCACGCTGCACGGTCTTGTTCTGGGTGATCACAGTCGCACCACTACTGGAAAGTTGAACATTTTCTCCATTTGTGCATCAGCTATCCGCATCTGCCATGGTTTGCGCAGTGGATGCGGTTTAGCGTGGAGCCATGAGCATCGTGGAAGATCAAAGCCCCAGGGATCTTCTGCGACATTCGATGAAAATTATGAATTAACCCTGCTCCATGGCCCAGCTTGGCCCCGAGCCACATTCAGAGATGTCTCGTTGTTGCCAGCGTATATCACGGCTCGGTTCCGGCCCGGCTCTTTGAATTGCGAAATGAAAATCCACGGCGTACCGCTAGTGCCCCGCGGCGGCACGGCTCGGATGTGCCAGTGGAAAAAAAAAAAAGAACGGTCCTCTCGTTTGTGAATTCAGTGCTCATGCGGAGGGATGGGGGGGGGGAAGGGCAGAGGGCAAAGTTGGGGGTAGGGGGGGGTGTCGTACCGATTGCGAAGCTGCGGAGGAGCGTGTTGAACTGGAAGACGCCGTAGAGGCAGAAGAGGACTGCTGCCGCGGCCATGATTTTGAGCAAATGCCATCGCGACTGCATCTTCCTGCGTGGAACTCTGCCAAACGAGACAGCACGGTGTCGTCAACAACAACAACAACAACGACGACGACGACAGCAGCGGCAACAGCAACGACACAAATACGCGGCGATGATAACGACGACGCAGAATGCGCGGCGCGCGCAGTTTTTCGTTCGCTCTGTCAGGGGGAGAGAAAGAGAACGAGGAGGGAGAGCGATTCGGAGGCACGCGAATCAGCAGGCAAGCGGCGAGGCAGCCAGATCCGGTGCCAACAATTGCCCAAGCTCTGGTTGTCCTCGATTAGGATGTAATAATAACGACAATCGCAACAACAGCAACAATATCATCCGTAGCAAGAGTCCCCCTGTTTAACACGGAGGCTTTCGCGACCAATATTATCCACGATAGAGGTTTTTTTGGGGAGTTGGATGGCGTAACCATGTCAATGTGTCGTTAAACTCGCCACCGCCCGACACAGCCAATTAGTAAGGGTTGTCACGCAATCCAAACATGGCAATTCGTTACTGGTACAGCAACACCGGTTGTGTGTTGGCGAGCGAACCCACGATATTCACAACAACAAAGAGTCTCCCTGCTCAAGTCTGCATTGGCTTGTACTCCTCCCCATGAGTAAGGCTTAAGCTGGCGCTGGAAATTCCACATTCACACGGCGGGGGACCATAGGAATACAACCGCTAATTTCCCACTTTCCCAGCAAGTGGCACGTGCTCGTGACGTGGTACTAATTTTATCGATGCTGAAGGGATGGTGATGATGATGATGGTTATGATGATGACGATGGTGGTGGTGATGATGAAGGTTATGATGGTGATGATGATTATGATGATGATGGTGGTGGTGATGATGATGTTGATGGTGGTGATGATGGTGGTGGTGATGATGATGGTTATGATGGTGATGATGATGATGTTGGTGGTGGTGATGATGATGTTGATGGTGGTGATGACGATGGGATTTAAAATGCCCTTGCTGACGAAACGCGATCTCCGCCGCTCTCGACGAACCGAGATGAACGCCTGCGCAGCATCGCAGGCCGCTCCGGGTGTGCTTATTTTTTTTCGTTTATGAAACGCGCGCATTGTGCTTGGGATGCACACGCTATCGAATCGGGCGGTCGTCCAACGCAATTTATTAGCCAGCCACATCATCAATAAGGCGGGCAATGCGATCCGTGGAAAGGGTGAGGGGCTGAGTGAATTAAGTGAGGTTGGGGACTGGCCTCCTCATTACATTAATGCACAGCGATACAGTTCGGGTTGCACATGCGCACACACACAAAGTCCAGGGCAAATGCACATACGGACGTATGTTGAACCTCTTTTGCACCGTTACGTAGCCAACAGTGGGGAAAGACAACAAACTAAACACCAAACGCAGTTCTAAAGAGGTGAGTTTTCAATCGAGATGATGATTTAAAAGTGCATAGCTCACAGCGGCTTCCTGCTATCGGAAGGAAGAGCGTTCCAGACGGCCGCAGAAGCGCATCTGAAAGCGGGCGATGATGCGGTGAACACCGCCTTTGTTCGATGGCTCAGACAAAATTGATGGGAAGGAGCAAAACGATCTCACAACACGGCACGTGCACGCTTCGTTCCGTGCAAAGGGGCCTTCTTCTCAAATGAGCACTGCAGTGCTGGGACACCCTTAGGTCGACTCAGCCTTAAATTAGTACAGCTCCTGTCTGTTTCGGTGTGCAAGCATCGACACCGGGCAGACAAAATGTGGCGTGGTCCTGGCCACGTGACCCTCTCTTGTGCGCCGTGCCGGCCTTCCCACGTGCTCGCTAACAGCACTTGCCCCAGCGGCCCGTATGGGCTGCACGGTTAATATTTAGCTTTGTGTGCGTGTAAGCGCGCACACACAGACAGTGTGTGTGTGCTTTGAGATGTTGCTCTATTTAGATGTTATGTAAATGCACGTGGAGTTGTATTGTACCTTGCGGAGCATTCATGAATAAATGCTTCAGGCTGTGAACCCAATAACATTGGTTTACATTTCTGCCCATGCACAATCTTGGTAATTGGAATAAAGTATTAATCTAATCCTTGCCCTATTCCTCTAGGTCAGCTCAACCCACAATCATTGCCTGGTTGTAGCACGGACCACATTAGCCCTTGCTCCAATAATCGATAATGCCCGACTCAAAGGGCCACGCACATGCTGCTGTTTATCTTCATACATTAATTGTCGATTGCTGCTGCTGCGTTGACAGTTGCGTATAAGCACAATTAACAACAAGAACAACAAAAACAATTAAACACACCCGTCACTAATTAGATTGTGGCCTTTAAAAGGAAGAAAAATATTGAATAGGTGACGTTTCGGGCAATGACCCTATCTGGCAATCCCCCTTCTTCATAGTACACTTCTTCACAGCACGCTATGAAGAATTTCCATTGCCATGTTGTTTCACTTCAAGGCCACAATGTTGTTGATGAATGTGCGCTTGTTGTCTTTGATAATTGTGCTTTGTCCTTGAAGTCACGCCAAGTCCCTTTTGGGCCCGTGCCCTTAACCCTTCAACAATTGCGAGTTCAACTCCCCCCCGATGGAGTTTGACGAGCTGCGTGGAGTTCAAAAGGACTCGCAAGCAAACACCGCCTCGTTGTGAAAGACCCAACGCTTTGATCTCCCACGAAGCTGTTCATGGTCAACCCATAAACCGCATCTACCGCACACACCATGGCAGTAGATACGGGCAGTGGTGCGACTGTAGTCATCAAGTGATCAAGAGCAGACCGTATGCAACGCGTAACGACGAAATGCCGCGGTCCACGGGCACGAAGGAGACATCACGGCGTTTGCACGCGGTTCTCTGAGCTTGACCACCTCAACTGTCAGAAGTTGTCGCCGTGCGTCTACATCAGTCGTACGAAAGCAAAAGAAGAAGGCAACTGCTACAGCAGCAGCAGCAACAGCAATCACCGATCCCTTTGTGAAGCTAAACAGCAGCGTCTGGGTTCGTTATCCTCTTTGGGCAGATAAAGGGGGGGGGGGCTAAACGGATACGCCATGGGTTCGTAGAAGAGATAACAGACGTGGTACACGGGAGGATGTGGAGCCGAGTGTACTTGCCGATGACTGGGTATCAGCAGTGTCACAATCATCCCACGTGGCGGGGTCTCGTGAAGGCTACAAAGGGAGATCTTTTGTCTCTGCGACAAAGAAGAAGAGAGAGTCTCTTCTCGACGTCAGACATTTCGCAAAACACGAGGACAGTGTTTAATATACCCCCGCAGCATCGGACGACTCCGTGCCAACGCAAGTCACGGGCACGTGTGGGTCTGCCTGCCGGTCTGGCTTTCTCTGTTCGCAGGCAAAATAAACCCATCCGGCTCGCAGGGGAGATGCGTTTGTGTCCGTGAAAGTTGAAGGCTTTGCAAAAAAACACGTATCATTTGCTTTTCCTTTCGCCGGAATTCCATCTTTGCATCCTTACCCCTCTGCGCGCAGTAATGTTTGTTTGACTTTATATGCACGGCAAACATGGGACGCTGCGATAACGTTGGTCCAACAGTTCCAACCACATACCAACGAGTGTCACGTGTTGAGCAAGGTTATTCTCATAACTTGTCCATAATAAAGGGGGGTTTTGTTTGAGTAAAATTCGCGTAAAAATAAATGCGTCGTTAACCCACCACGACCACCCAACACAGCTAATTGTCTACGGGTTTTTCAAAGAAACAAAACGTAACAATGAGTTACTAAACTTCGATGTAAAGCTTTCGTGACTGCAGGGATTCATATTCTTGGTTCTTTCGGTAAAGTAACGTAGAAGGGAAATAATTAAATAATTAGAAATTAAACAATTAAATTCTTACGACGTTTCGATTGAAACACAAGCAACCACAGCAAATTTTCTTGCTGTAATTTTTACACCTGATGATGATTGCTTGTGTTGCAATCGAAACGTGAGAATTTTATTGTTCTTCTTGGTTCTTTCGGTAAAGTCACGTAGAAGGGAAATAATAAAATAATAAAAATAAAACATAATAAAATAATTATCACGACGTTTCGGCCACAACGCGAGCAGCCGTCCTCAGGTGAAGACCAGGTCTGTCGGGAGACAGCGTCAAAGAAACAAAACGTAACAATTAGTTACAAAATTTCGATTTAAAGCTTTCGTGACGCTGTCTCCCCGACTGACCTGGTCTTCACCTGAGGACGGCTGCTTGCGTTGTGGCCGAAACGTCGTGAGAATTGTATTTTATTATGTTTTATTTTTATTACTTTCTTATTTCCCTTCTACCGGACTTTACCGAAAGAACCAAGAATAATCAGTTGCTACTTCAACACACCGGTGCGTTGGAGAGTAAACCCACAATATTTACAATTAGAGCACTTTGACGTTTAGCTGGTGATTACAACAGGCAGCTTCATCAGAAGATTTACTAGAATTGTGAAGACGTCTTCCTGATTCGGTCTCAAATAGAGTAAAGGTGATGTCATCACTGAAAGACTATCACGTGCGATGACCAGAGGGGGGTTCTTGTAGTCATATAAATTAGTCATGTAAATTATTCATGTAAATTAGTCATATAATCTTGATTTGAAGCTTTCGTGACTGCAGGAATCCATACTCTTTGATTCTTTCGGTAAAGTCACGTAGGTAGAAAAATAAAACAAAACTAAAATTAATATATCACGACGTTTCGATCGCGACACAAGCGGTCGTCGTCAGGCAGAAAAAAATAATCCAGCAGTAGAACTGCTGATCCAGCGAGAGAGCTGTTACACAACAACGAGGTTATATATGTGGCAATGGGCAAGCAAGCGGGGTCTGAGCTGGAAAGGAATTCCATCCCCGGACGCAAGCACGTCAGTTGTGTTCATGGGGGAGATTAGGGAGAGAGAGATTAGCATGAAATGAGCTTCCGACACATGACATGCTTGCGTCCGTGGATGGAATTCCTTTCCAGCTCAGACCCCGCTTGCTTGCCCATCGCCACATATATAACCTCTTGTTGTAACAGCTCTCTCGCTGGATCAGCAGTTCTACTGCTGGATTATTTTTT